CGTTACTCCTTTTAAAGACTAAAGTGCTTATTTTGCTTAATACGAGGAGTGGAAAGTTGAATACATTTGCGTTTTTATCTTGTTTAGTCAAGTCTGGTTTTCGTTCTTTGTTTACCTAAATTTATCTACACTTGATCGGCCAAATAACTAGTTTTGGTTGTGAACTTGACTATATTGTGTGACGGAATTGAGTGACGGGCTGGTGATGGTATGATCTAAATACAACGTTATCAATCTGGCCAGCACTTTGCCCCTTAATTGGGCTGATCTGGTGCGAATGGGGATTAGTCTGAGTATGGTACGGGCTTAAAGGTGCCTCTTACAGTTAGGGCTTGCTCAGGACACCTCGTGGTCTAACTGCGTTCTATTTTAAGGCACAGAGCTGTTTCATTTGACAAGTTGGGGTGGAACGCGAGTTTGTTTACATTTTGACTGAATTCTTTTGCAGAATGAAGACGTTTTTATGATATACGACTCTAGGACGAAAGAGCATATGAGAAGCTTCCAAGAGGTCGAGATTCAGCCAGAAGGAGAAGTTCGGGTAATTGAGGGAGGGCAAGGGCAGAGGCGTGCCATCCCGCCAGCTCTGATGAAACCCTTAGACGATCAATCAGCTCGGGGACTTCTCTCGGGGAGAGGGCGATCAATTTCTGGTGCGAGGAGCGAAAGATCCTGAGCTTAGTTCTGGTATATATGGAGTGTTTTATGCAGAGCTTGACCATTTTCATAGGACAAAATAATCTTACATTAGATATTTTTTCAGAGGAAATCTGTACATGTCTGCTGGTTCATATATGGGTTTTAGCTGTAAATGTCTCAAATGATGTTTGGCATATATACCTTCATTTGTTCTGATGTTCTTTGAGGATGGAATAGGATCTGATTGGTATATATCATTAGAGTTGTGAGTAATATAATCGAGACTAATCAATCGTTTACAAATTCATTATAGCTTGATCTGTGTGTAAAGGAGTTGTAAATTCGATCTCTCGATTTGAATAATGGTCATTTATTGATTTTATTCTCCAGATGCAACATGCCCGAGGAACATCTTTCTCGACACCTTAACAGACATGAGGGCTAGAACTGTGGCCGATGGCACAAACAAGACGTCGGGGATGGCTTTTATCAGCTTTAGCTGTGGCACGCTTTCTCCGGCTCTCTTGGCCGCCATAGCTACCGGAGGCGTAGCCAGTCCGGTGAGGAGAGTTGAATCATCCAACTTGCTAGGGTTCACCCCTTTTTTCATGAATTCTACAAACACTCTCTTCTTCTCTGATTCATTTGCAGATTTCCATTCTGAAAAACATGCCTGCAGGTTTTGGAAATACACCTATATATGTTACTCGAGTAAGAGTCAAATTCTGTTAGCACAATTTAGGTCCGTCTCGATTTGAATTAATCTCACAGACACAAACTAACATTCTTTATTCATTATATTAGAGGGAGAGAAAGACCTGGATTTCCTTGAGAGGAGGAGCATCATAATGTTTACCAGGCAATGCTCCATTGACAGTGCTGTAAATTTGGTGAATCATGGAATATCAAGTGGGTTATATATACATGGCAAGAATCATCAAATGGAAAATGGCATGAAGAGGGGCAATCCCAAGTCCCAACCAAGTTGGTCGGACGGTTGATTTGGTAACTACAAAGTTTTAAATTTAACTTCCCGTGAGAGAGGTTTATTGGCATTCTTCGTTTGACCCGGTTAACTATGAGCAACCTAGCTAGGTCCTGTTTGGTAAAATAGTTAGCCTATCAGTCAATTTTGACTTATTTGACCACTATTAGCTGTTTGACTTGGTTAAACAATATTAATTAGCTTTTTGTAAAACTTATTGCTCCAAAATGCTAAAATTCAAAAAGCTGCTTAAAGTAGCTTTTTCGATAAGCTTTTTGAAAATTTATTTTGAAAAATTTATTTTGTATGTAATCAGCTAACGGTTAATTTTTACTAAACAGTTTTCTACAATCAATTAATGTAATCAACTAGTTAAATCCACTAACAGCTATTTACCGACAAACATCCCATAATTTAGTTTACCTTCTTGTGGCCCTTTGCTAGTTTGGTTTACCGAGGAAACAACCTCAATTAGATGGAAAAAAAAAAAAAAAAAAAAAAAAACCCAATCCAAGAATCTTACTTAAAAATATCAAGAATTGCGAGGTGAAAATCTTCAAAGGTGTTGATATCTTTCTCAATAAACTGTTTGTGCAGTGTTCCCATCACAAAACCCATCATCTGCGTCGTAGGCAACCCTAGCAGCATCAGATGTGTAGTCTCATTATTAATTAGTTCAGACCCAACACATAAAACTACGTAAGAGATTTGAAAAGAAAAACTAACCTTTTCCCATTACTGTCATGACTAAACCCATGTTGAATTGTTGCCGGCAGGAAAATATATGATATAAAAGAGCAAACGTTGTTATATTGACACAGAATTGCCAAGGATTGGAATATGATGTCTTGAATTGACGACAATCTAATCATGAACTCATTGAAGCAAGGAATTGAATCCATATATGTTCTTGCTCCCAATGTAACATATATTCTTCTCTTCACATTCCTGGCTTGCATTGTGCTTTACTTCAATGTTACTTCAACCTTAATTATCCAATGGAGTATGAAAAAATCAATCTGACCAGTACCTTGTTCCTTAATTGGGTTGGTCGGGTGTGAATGTGGATTAGTGACACCTTATGACCTAATCCAAAAAAAAAAATAAAAATCCAATGGAGTAATACTACTTAGGTGGTATATATGCTCTAATTCATCCAGGGGACAAGTATAGATCATAATTTTTGTGACATGTTCGATCAAGAGAGGACGGGTAAAAATCAAACTCATGACTTTCTAATTATGAGAATCATGGTACTATACACTTAATCGAGTACTTAGTCATTCTTGTTGGGCTATTATTGTATAATCTTTTTAGTGTATATTGTAGCGTGAGTGGTATTAAACTCATATATCACAATTTTTTCCCATAACCAAAGTTCTATCCAAAACAACTACAATTATCCAATAACAAAACTAAGGCCTCAAGAGATAAAGTCTATACAAGGTTTACTCAATAGTTATGTTGTGGAACTGTGTTCACCATGCACATGGTGAACACGGGATATATCCATAATTTCTAAGCTGTAAATTCATAATTTTTATATTGTAGATTCATAACATCTATACTGTAGATTCATAATTTATATACCGTACTGTAGACTCATAATTTCTATACTATAGATTCATAATTTCTGTATAGATTCATAATATCTATACTGTGAAAGACGAAATAATGCGATTGCAAAGAGAAAAACGTCGTTAACAACAAATGAAAAAAAAAATTATGAATCTACAGCATAGAAATTATGAATCTATCCCTGTGTTCATCATACACATGATGAATACGTTTCCACAACATAATTTGCGAGATTTACTATAGAAAAACTACAAACTGCTAGCACGCGCTCTCGTAACTAACCCCTACGTACTCCAATCCTGAAAATAACAAGTCAGAAAAAACATCCAAACACGGAGTTAGCATAAAGCACTCTGCTAATGTAAAGCATGGATCCGGATATATTTTATTATTGAACGGTTGACTTCCACATCAACCCACGGCCAACCCACGTAACATCATGGGGAACAAACGGAATAGTTTCATAATCCATGCATACGCACTGACACGTATATATAATGTTATATATAACAAATTGTCATATATTATGCAAAAGCATATTATTTATTTTGTTACTAATAATTATATAGAGATTAGAGAGTATAATTTCATCAAATACAAATAATGGATATTGGGCCGTGGAAGGTTTGAAAGATGATTGGCCACTAAGGGCTAAGGTAGTTGCGGTTCAATTCAATTGGTGGATCAATATTAAACTTTATACTATTTAAATCGAATCTGAACCGTAATCATATAAAAAGGTTTCGATTAACTGGTTAAAATTTAAACCTAATAACTATGGTTAAGATTAAGATTTATATTTTTGTGCGTGAATTGTCGATTCACGGTTCTAAACCGTGTTATATATAGTTATATCAATCTGTCGTTATAGTATCAGTACGGTTTTGTAACTACCATCGCACGGACGCGATTGCAACTTTGTCATATAAAATATTATTGAAAATTATGGTAGTGTTGTGCATATAAAGTATATCATTCATCTTTTGAAAGCTGAAAGTTAGTTGAGACACATCTCATGATTTATCTCCCCTACTAGTTTTCAAGGTAAACACTCTTAAGTTCATATTCAAATTTTGTAAATGCCCATTTTACCGCTACTCATAGATTACATAGCGCAATATTCAATAATACCATAAGTTATATAAGATTATACTTTAACCATTTTTATTTAATAAGGAAGGGGGAAACCCAAAAGAACATACAAGTATAGTTACAAGTATCACATGTTACGCCAGACAGGAAATGCTAAAGTATCATCTTCTAAGAGACCAAGTAATTCTACGGGTGGGTTACTAAACAAGTGTATTCCCCTATTGAAATGATGTGAAATTTTGGCGAGAAAGTCTGCCACCTGATTCTGTTCTCGAGCTATCGATATTACATGCCAAATTTCGAAGAATCGGAGTTCTTTCTTGCATGCTTCTAAGACATTATGCATCGCAGTAGTGGGGGAAGCTATTATTGATATAATCTGGTATAGCTGAAGCATCGCATTCAAACAGAACCATTAATCATAAGAACTTACATATACCATTTGGTTTTAAAAAATAATTAATAATATTTATAATAAAAATAAAAATAAATTTTAATTAAACAGAAAATCCAACAATAATTTAGACAAGGATAATTTAATGATGATTACACCGTCAAATTAATTAATTTAAAACAAACAGAGTATCTTCTAACTATTTTGTTCATGTCGTTTCTTAAATTAAAAAAATATTATCTTGTCTAGAATTCAAAAAAGGAAAATTAAAAATAAATAAATAAATCACACACGTGAAAAATATCACCCGCATGATCGCATTCCCTCTTTCTTGGAAAGCTCAGAGACAGTAAGCCTTACTATAAATACAACATTTAACCCTAAACATTCCGACCTGAGATCAACAGACAAAATACTTTTACGGTGAGAAGATTTCGCCTGAAAAATCCTCGAGCGAATGGAGTCGGAATTCGATTTGGCATTTCTCGATTCTCTACAGCAGCAGCTCCTCGACGATTCCGATTTTCCGGAGATCTTCGCGGCGATTGATCGGTGCGGTAATAGCAGCGCCGTTATTGGCGGTGCCGGAGGCTCACCGGAGTCGTGGGAGGGGGATGGGGAGGTTCAGAAGGCGGCGATCGGAGCGGCGCGGGAGGAGTGCTCTCCGCCGCTGCCGCGAGACTACTGGAGGCGCTATAAAGGCGTGCGGCGGAGGCCGTGGGGGAAGTTCGCGGCGGAGATAAGGGATCCGAACAGAAAAGGCGCGAGGCTGTGGCTGGGAACGTACGAGAGGCCGGAGGACGCGGCGCTGGCGTACGATCGGGAGGCGTTTAAGCTGCGAGGCGCGCGGGCGCTGCTGAACTTCCCGCACCTGATTGGCTCAAACGTGCCGGCGCCGATTAGGGTTAAACCACGGCGGCGGTCACTTCCAAAGGCGGCATTGTCGTCTCCGTTGTCCACAGAGAGTGGGATTGGTACTCCTAAAAGAAGAAAAATTAGCATCATAAACTCAGTAGCCGCAAAAGTCAATTTGGATCGTGTGAGTATGTTGGATATGCTTACCAGTTGAGATTCCTAGCTACTACAAAATCATGTACTTGAGTCAATCGCAGTCAATTTACAAGACAATTCACTTGGCAACCGGAACATTTCAAGTTCAACTTCTGCGAGTTGTGTATTGACCTTTTAAAAGTTTGTTTTGCAATTTTCAACTTTTTCAACCCCTCTTTGTTTAAAGTTTACAACCATTTCATGATTCTGTTAGGCTTTCTCTCCCTTTTTCATCTGTAAAGGCCCTGCAACTCCATCATCCGTCTGACGCTCTAATGGAGAGTTGAGCCGGTGGTGCCATTAGTAGACTCCATTAGGAATAAGCGTTAGATCTCAGATTATCTTCGATCGTTTTTCAGAGAAGGCGTCGGAGACTCTCCAGATTTAACAGGTTTTCTATCGTCATAGAATTACAACTTATAATGAAAAATGCTAGTCACTAATCACCCTTACAATTACAACTTACAAACTATCACTTTTACAAACTATCACTCCTTAATGCATGTGCCAAATGTCACATCATAAACATGCAACATCGAAATAACTACCTAAACATGCAATTGACACATTGTGAAGTGATTGTTTGCAATGCAAGCAGTAAATGTAGGGATATGTACAACTGCGAAGTGACTATCTGCAAGCGGTAAATGTAGGGATATGTAACATATAGTCGTCACAATGAGAAAATGCTAATCACCATTACAACTGCCACTCACAAACAATCACTTCTTGATGTAGCAAAGACTATTGTCACATCAGAAAATGATTGTTTGGCCCACATGGACAACTCAACTAGTCACATGTGAAATTTGTCACAAGAGATCAATGATCAAGTCTCACTAACGGCAGTGTGAGAGACGAACAAAAATCTAATATCTGTTGATCAGTTGAATCACTATGATGAACCAGGGTATGGGAACGTCTAGGGTGGACGATTCCACCTTTTGTCATAAGAAAATGATTATTTGTAAGTGATAAATTTAAGGGTGTGTAATATGATTCATAATAATGCAAGGTGAATTCCATAAAAAGTGACTTAATTTCACTTTTAACCTAATAAGTCTAATTAACCAACCACGACAAATATTAAATAATAATTGTTGCTTGCACATTTTCATTTAAAAAAATAGGTTTAATTATTATTATTTTTACATTAAATAAAAAAAATTAAAATTTAATCATGCCATGAGGCATGATCAGGGCAAAGAATCTTTGAAAATTATATATTTTTTCTTATAATAATAAGAGCATGAAACGTGGGTATGTCACTATATATGTTGTCTTCTGATGACCGGAGATTCTTAATTGCCCGCCATTGCAGAAAAAGATCGTTCAATTTTTTAAAGAATAAATTGAAGCATACTGTGCACGTTTAAAACTCCATTATTAAATATTGAAGAATTCAAGCTTCCTGGAATTTCCAGAAAATATATAAAATATAAATAAACATAGATCTTCGTGCATATATATATGTTGGACTGCGGAGTTATGAACCCGGAAATGTATGAAGAAACCATGTCCGACGACAATGATCTTTTCCTCGTCGAACGCCTTCTGGGCAATTCCGATGTGTCGGAAATGTTGTCGGCTATGACGCAGCCTGGACCGGCAGGGGCTCAGGATTGGCGGCGGTACGGAGGGGTGAGGCGGTGGCCGTGGGGGGAGTTCGCGGCGGAGATTCGGGACCCGAGGAGGAAAGGCGGTGGCAGGGTGTGGCTGGGGACGTACGAGACGGCGGAGGACGCCGCGGTGGCTTATGACCAAGCGGCTTTTCTCGATTCTATGGAGCAGCATCTCCTCCACGGTTCCGACGTCGTATCGGGACTACTATTTCCGGTGCCTCCGTCTCCTCGCGAAAACCCTAGCTCAGGTGACGCGTGGGTGGAGATAATGTACCGATCACCGCGCAGCAGCGCCGCCGGGAGGGCGATCGCGAGGAGGTTGGGAAGAAGACGGCCGCGGGGCGAGAGGAGCGGCAGGCGGAAAGCTGGAAGCGCTACAGAGGCGTGCGGCGGAGGCCGTGGCCACGTTCGCGGCGGAGATAAGGGATCCGGCGAGAAAAGGCGCGAGGATGTGGCTGGGGACCTACTGGCGGCCGGAGGATGCGGCGGTGGCTTACGACCGCGCCGCCTTTAAGCTGCGCTGCTCAACTTCCCGCACCTGGTTGGCGCCAACATGCCGGAGCCGGCTAGGGTTAATCCGCGCCGGCGATCGCTTTCAACGTCGGCCGGCAATCCTGAAAGCCAAGAAACTACTCCGAGCAAGAACAGAAAAATCAGCATCATAAACACTTTAGCGAAAGCTAACGTTATTGATCGTAGTAGCATATTGAGAATGCTTATAAATATAAATTAATATATAATACACCCATATATAATATGGTCTATGATTATATTCCCCATAATATATACATATATATACTCTTCCAATAATAATATATATGCTTATAGTAAGGCTTACAACACCTCTACTGCTCTACGTACCATGCTGTATAGTAAGGCTTACAACACCTCTACTGCTCTACGTACCATGCTGTAAAAATTCTTTCAAAGGCTAAACCCCAACCCTAAGAGCTCCACACCCGACCCGACAGAGCATTTGGGAGGATGTAAATCATGGTAACTCAAATGCTGTAAAAATTCTTGTATATACAAAGTGTAATAATATAAGAAAATTTTACAGTATCATATGTATGTAATAATGTACTTTATATTAATAAAATTATACTTTTTTTATATTATGTTGTGCGCTAGTTTAAAGGGTCAAGTTCAATATTTGTCATTAAAATATACAGGTATACAATTGATGGTTTGAAAGGAATTGGGGTTTAATTTGGACTATAATTTGGAGGAGCAAATCCAACGGTAAATTAAATGTGTTTAGCTTAGTAAATTATTAGATGTTAGTTGATAACTGATTACATGTAAAATTATTTATAAGGATATAAATATTTTATAATATTACTTCTCTTAAAATACTTTTACAATTTATTGCATGTCATTGCTGTGCTATTATTAATTATATCTTAACTATTTTTTTTTTGTTTTATTATTAATAAAGTTATAATTATAAATAAATACTCCTTAGTTAATAATAATTTAATATTAAAATATAATTTCAAATAAAAATAATAATAAATATAAGTTGTTAATAATAATTATATATGTCATAAGTATATTGTGCTATTTAATTAACTCTTATACTACTTTTAAACTTTATTGTCATCGTGGTGTTAATTAATATTAATTATATTTTAACTACTTTTTTGTTTTATTATTAATAATGTTATAATTATAAGGAAATACTCTCTACTTAATACATTCAATATTAAAAATATAATTTCTAGATGTCAGACTTTAGACAATTCTGGTGATATTAAAATGTAAATTTAAATAAAAAATTGAATAAATATAAACACTACAATAACCAACACCTATTAAGCGTAAATTAGAGTATTAGACTTTTAAAATGAAAACACAATAAGTTGATTTAGTAAGCTACTCAAAGTAATGTTTTCATTTTCAACTTATTAGCACCAATAAACTAAGCGAAAAAGTTATTTACCAAACACTCATATCAGTTGTTTGACCAGTCAAACATGTTGGACTTTGGTTTTTAAGTCATTTTCAAACACCCTCATAATTTATTATTTTTTCTACATCTCAAAAATTGAGAGCTCTATATTGTCGCATATGGTGAGACCCTCAAAATATTATGAGTATTCTTATTTTCTACTCTCAAATTTTATTTCACGCACAAAACCTTAATATAGACATTTACATTGAAACTTACATGAAAAAGTAGCTTATGAGTAGCCGCTCCATCAAGAAATAAAATTTGGAAGTCCATGTACCACGCCAACCTTGCATCCAAGTCGTAATATCTCTTTTTCTTATCATTGTTGTTGTTGCTATGTTGTCTCTCTTTTATTTGTTGTATCTAGCTCCCTTTAAAATTAAAAATAAAAATAAAAATAATAATAATAATAATAATAATAATAATAATAATAATAATAATAATAATAATAAATAAAAAGTTATGCACATGCCATACTGAATCATTAACAAGAAATAAACACTTCTTTCACTTCTAATTAACATATATACATAAATAAATAAATAAATAAAAAGAAGAAGAAAAATTGGGTTGCACTACTGAACATGCATAATATTAATTAATTAATTAATTAATGCAATTTTTGTTTGAAGCAGTTAATTAATGCAATTAATTAATGCGTGATATATTACTTTTGCATGCCTGGATTGAACGTCGTGATGTTTATGCACTTTGGTCAAAAAGATCACAGTAATTATTTTAATATATTATTCTTTATGAAATGATTTGTTATATTAATATTTTATATATCCGACCAAGAAGTTGTGATAATATTAATTCTACATTAATGTATCTGCAAGATCATAAATCAAATCATCAGTGTAAAATGAATGGACGTATTAAGATGAACATCTAATAATAATTAATTAATTAATTAATACGAACATCCAGATCCAGTGTAAAATGGTGGTCATACCAATAGTAATATGAATTATTATTCTTTTATTTAATTTTTTTATAACCCTTAACTATTAAATTTCCGGCCATCTAGCTTCTTCCCCAAAAGAAAAAATAAACAAAAGCCAGTAAATAAAAATAATAATAACAATGATATATGTTTAAGATATAAATATCATTTTCTTGTTCCAAAGGAATAGTTATAATTCTTGTATTCACAAATTCAATTCTTGCCAACACCCTTTTAGGCTCTCGGTCGAGTTCATTATTCACGAATTCTCCCTGCCGCCGCCTTTCCTCCTCGAGTCCCGAATCTCCGCCGCGCACTAATCTGTACATATTCTTGGTATACTCCTTTAATATAGATTATAAATTTCCTATTGCTACTGCATCTCATGGGTGGGGAGTGGCCGGAAACGGGAGAAATGGTTAGGAATAAAAAACAAAGTGAATGGTAAATAATTGACTTTTCAAGTAAAAATTAAGGTTTAATTTGAACTTATTTATGTAACGGATTACTAAAATCAAATTAAGTTTTTTTTCTGGATGAATATTAGAACATTATATATATATAAAAGAACAGGCTTACGTGCTCTCTGCATGTGATGTGATGTTAGTTAACATGCAGGTAAGTCTCTTTACATTCTTTGCATGTTATGTTAGTTAACAGGTAATTAGTCATAATCACATTAACTAACATAACATGCAAAGAATGCAAAGAGACTTACCTGCATATTAACTAACATAACATCACATGCTAAGAGCATGTAAGCCTTCTGAGTTAACAAAACTTCTCAGCAAAGCAAAAGTATGGAAGACAATTGATTAAATATGATAAAATGCATGTGTATCATCTCCATATATAAGTTTCAACCACAACATGGTGCTTGATCTTCTTGTGAAAAGTCACCCAAAAAAATTACAAAAAAAAAAAAAATAAGAGGAAGAGATGACAGTTTAATACAAACTAAGCTTTCAATATTGTAGGACAAATGGATTTTGCAGGTTCATTTTCATGGAGACAACATGATTCTCAGAAGCGGCAATCCTGTGTACGTTGTTGGTACGCCCATGAACAAAAATAACTGCCTAGTAGCGCGTTACTAATCCTTCCTAGAATCGCCATCTCGTTTGCCTCAACCCATAGGATGCCGCCTTCTGCAAAGTTTTTCAAGGTAGAGCGCAAATTAAAATACCAAAAACACAAGCACACTATTTATCAAAGTGTACCGCAAGGATTGTATAATATTTTATATATAATCAGGAATAGACTCCATGCAACCAAAACAAAGGAAAAGAATTCACGTTACTAAGGGAAATCCCATTTTAGCATACCTCTTGGGCCGACCTCGGTCTTCTTCATAGTCCATCACTCCACCAGGTTCAGAGTAGATCTCCTCATGTCCTCTGTAGTCAATGTCGGCCTGCTTTTTGGTAACTTCTGTCATAATGTAAGTAAGACACATCGACTAACATACCACAGTACTTGAATATAAAATCAATCTTTACATCATCAAGAAATAGTAGTCCACTATGAGGATACACACAACAAATAAATGCATTCACAAGTTTTTACACGTTTGTGGCTATTAGTAATCTTGCCTAATTGGTAACTTATAGCAACCAATGAATATGAGAAATTGTGACACTTGTTACAAGCTACATCATTTAGTACATCACTTCTTAAGTTCTTATAAAAGATTTGGAACACATCCTCCCACCCCCTTCCCCCAAAATATTTTATTCATATTATCCACTTTTTTGTTCTGCCGACATGCAAGAAATTCATCAGTGAAGAGTCCATATTTTATTTACTCATATTTTTCCCAACTCACCTATTTGCCACCTCTAGTTCACTAGCATGAATATACACGAATGAAATATTACTCGAGAAAGCTAAATTTGGTCCTGTGAAGGTCAAAGTACCTATGAGGTCCCTGTACTATAGTGTTTTGTTCAATTTAGTCCTTCTACTTTAATTTTGTTCAATTTAGTCCCTATACTTTAAAAATTGAAACAATTAAGGACAATAGCTTATGTGAGCAAATATTTATGTACTTATTTTAGACATATAAATGTAATATATTGGTGGTAAAAATAATTAATTTTAAATATTTATAAAATAATATATGAGTTGGCATGTAAGTATGATGATGTGGCAGAGATAATGTCTGCGTCACATTAGCTATTGTCCTTAATTGTTTCACTTTTTAAAGTACAAGAACTAAATTGAACAAAATTAAGGTAGAAGGACTAAATTGAACAAAACACTATAGTACAAGGACTTCATAGGTACTTTGGCCTCCTGTGAACTAGAAACAAGTAAACAACTCATGTTGAAAGGTACTGCATTTAACCGACCTTGAAGGACAAAGTCTTTTTAACTTCATCAACCTTCTCTTCAATGTCCTTATGGTGCTTCTTGTCCAACTGGCTCATTGTATCTGCCCACTTGATCTTCTCTTGAATTGATACAAGAAGATTGTCTGATGTCATCAGCCTACGGTTTAATCAAATGAAATTTACTAAACCAACCAGGTTGAGATGTAAGGCAAGCAACCACAATCAAAGCTGGCTTTATGGATAGGGGAAAATGGTAAAGGAAGATGGATTGGAAGAAGTAAAAAAAAAAAAAACAAAAAAAACAAAAACAAAAACAAAAAAGAAAAAAGAAAAAACAAAAAAAAAAACAAAAAAAAAAAGTGAATTTGTTACTTCAAATTAGAAGTGTAGATGAAGCTCTAAATTGCCCTCGATTTTGACACACGAGAAGATTTTGTTTTTTATAAGACTAAGACCAACAACAAAAGAACTTTTATTTCAATCAATGAACTAAAGAATTGGAGTTAATGAACCTCACTGACACTTGACATACAGATTGCTAATTCTCATACTTTTGACCATATTAACTGGATGCTGATAACTAAAAAGATACATGCCCACATTCATAGCATTATACCAACTAAAATCCACAACAACAAAAAAACTATCTCCACTTTTGTAGTATATACACCAAAATCAAACTGCATCAGTATTCATGTCAAGAGCACAAAACCGAAAGATACACTCATATTCACTGTCAATATGTAAGCATATTGTCCTCCAATTATCTCTCAAATACACAGAGATCACTAACAGAACTATATGCTTACCAGTCACTCAGTGTCTCTATCATACTCGCCAATTGACCAGGCCTTAGATCCCTCCCTGCTGCAAATTGCACCTAAACAGCAGGTTGAGATCAAATTCGATACGACATGATGAGTCCACCCACACTAATTATCAATGAAATAGGAGTAATGATAGAACAGCAATATAAATTATACTGACCTCAAAGCATCTTCGCAACTGGTCCAGCTTTCCCCTAACTATGCCCTGTCCATGTAGACAGCAGCATAGGAAAATAAGTACATTCACCAGAACACATATGGTCAATAGCACAGTCACTACTCACCAGCAGTCAACAAGAAAAGAGGGGGAAAAAACAAAAAACAAGAACAGATGATTGTATCTTTGCGAGAGAACTTGCAGCTTTGCACTTAAATTGGATTGATTAACAGAATAACTGGGAAACAAAAGTTCAATACTCACCACGTACATGCACTCATTTATGAGGAAATCTTCAAGTTCACGCACATTAGAGACATCCAATTCCTGCATAAGTAAATCATATGGCAGCACCTAGGAAAAGAATAAAGACAGAATGTAAGGTGTACTGCAAGATTGAAAAAGAAGTGTTGACTAAAAAGGAAAAAAAATAGTAAGAGTCCAGAAACAAAAATTGTGTTATGATGTTACCAAGACTGTAAAGGTAACAATAGATCCAATTGCATGTGAAGATGATACAAAAATTAGTGCTGATTTATGAACTAGTTTTAAATAATGCATTTGACTAACTAACGAAAGATGTGTAATACTAGAGCATTTATGTCAAATGGAGAACCCAGCACTCCTTTTCCTCCTTAGTAAACAAAATATTTAAAACCAAATTTGAATTCACTACCTCTAATATACTCTTGGTGGAGGTGATAAAGTTTTTCATGAATTATGACAAGTAGTGAGAAGAATTCATGGCAAAAGCAAACTTAAAGTAAAAAAAGTTCTGCAATTGTCACTAAGCCTGGAAGAAGAGAGAGAAGAGGGAGGGGGGCATCAAAATTTACAAATGATCATATAGCTACCATTGTCAAGAGGATTTTCTAAATTTGAAAATGAATAGAGTTGCTTTCCTAATTCATATGCATGCTTAAGTGGCATTTTGAAACACCAAAAGGATATGCTAAAAGTGCATGTTGTCCTATTAAAGAACAAGAGTTAACAAGAACTTACCTTGGTCGTCTCAGCCAGTGTAAGCACAGTAAGTTGCTTCAACTTCAGAACTTGGTCAGGGACCAATTGAGGAAGGTTTCCAGTAAAATCTGGAAAATCATACAACTGTCAATTAAATTTGACCACATACTTATCACAAGGAAAAGAAAAATGAAACCAAAACAGTCATGCATAAAAATTTAAAAATATAAATAAAAATTCTGTGATTAAAAAACAAACACAAACACTACAAAACAGACCTCAGATTTGTTGACTATAAAATAACCTAGATCAATTAGTTTCAAACAAAAACTCCTCCAGCCTTCCAATCAAGCAAGAACCTCTCTCTATTGAAAATTGGAACTACTATGGCAAGTCAAAAGACATATATGGATGCATGAACAAAATTCATTTCATCATGGAATAGTTGTAATTTGTAAAGCAATTAAATGTCCCAAATCATCATGCATTTATTAATCATGTAAAATTATTACCCCTATGGCCCTATGAGGGCAAGTCGAGAACAGAAACACATTGTTCTATAAAGTCAGTCAAATAGTGTTTAGTATCCCAGGTATGAATATGCATTATGTATAAAATATTAATTAGCTGATCCAAGACTTTACCCTAAATTGCACAGGTTGAAGACTAATTTCAAGTAAACATTTAATTACTAAATTGGCAGGATAGTTGAAAAGATGCAACACTACAAGCAGAGGCTGATGCAAAAAAAGTCATTTTTATTTTTATTAATAAAAACTTCACTAGGATTTCTCTCTTCACCTATACATAGATCAGTTTCAGTAAAGACTTAAAGATTAAAGATGTGAGACAAAACAGGGAAACAAACTCTATGAGGATGCACATTAGAATTGCAAAATAGAAAGACAAACACTTACTCTTGTACTGAGTCCATGTTCCTTGAGCAAACAAACGAAGCAAATAAAGGTACATAGAATTCTCAGTTCCTTCAAGCTTGATAAGTTAACAAAAATGAATTAGTAACAAGGATGTAAAAAAATATAAAAGTGCACATGGCTATTAAATTACACTTATTTCAAAGATGTCCACATGGATATTAAAGACGGTTCAAATGTATCAATTATGAGCATTAGCATACAATTGCAACGAAATCCTTCTTTCATTGGCCCCATATCTTAGAACAAGAATATGCATATGACAAAAATTATTTAGTGCTTGTTGGCCTAGCTTGAGTTTCTTGAAAAAGTTCTGGAAAGCCTCAGCTTTTTATCTTTTTGAAAAAGAGACATTTGCCCCATATCTAGTCTTAAAAGCTCCTTTACTCTTTTTAGTATTTGGCACGTCTTTCTGTTGTAGGAGTAAATAAGCTTCAAAATAAGCTAGGCCATACAAGCACTTTCCACATCCGGCACATGCATATGCTTCTCAAAATGGAATGTGATCCAAGTCATCCAAACTGCTCCCAAATGCAATACTAATACAAAATACTAGGGAAATAGGATCTTTCATGTTTTCTTTCAAATTGATGAAGTTCAAGACTACAGTTAACCCACCTACAACCAATATGCAAATTCCCACTAATTAAACAAACGCATCAATATATGATAAGAAGTTAAAGTCAGAGGAAAACCAAAACTCAATTTTACCAAGCACATAAACCCCAACATAACTATCAAGTTAAAAACTAAAAAGTTCCAGAATACCATAGAGAAGTTTACTAACAACCCAACCACAAGATTAACAATATCGAAGCTACAAATTATCAATACAATTACTACATCCCAGGGGTGCTAGGGGAACTGCCAAAACAAATACTGCGAGTGCAATGCGTCTAGAATAAATTGAGCATAGAAAGACTAGCATGATATGTATAAAACATATAAGCAGCATATGGGTCCAATGGTGGATTACAAACCTCTAGAATGTTGGGAACCGCAAGAATCTCGGAGAAGGCGAAGAGGGAGGGGTGGGAGGTGGCGTCGACGATGACAGTGGTCAAGGCGGAACCTCTGACAGCCGACGCTTGTTTCACGAAGTACTCGATGTGCTCCGCTTGCCTTTGTTCAATATCCATCTTCCAATTCCAACGAAAATATAAATAAATTAACTTCTATCAAATATATCTGTAGAAACTGTTTACCGATGTGAAGGGTCCGGTACCATTGACGGAGGAATTAGGGCTGCTGAATTGAAGGTTTTCTTAGGGTTTATAAATACGCGAGAGGACTCTGCAAATTCGAGTCCTTCGGGATGGTGTTGGAGACGCAGTAAAAATGCTTTTCTTCGCGGGTGCTTGTGATTGTATACGCTATTTGTCGATCCAGAGGAGACAGCGTTTTAAAGACTTTACTTTAATGAGGCACTTCTAAGCAATTCAATTTCCTATTTTCGCCCCAAAATCATGACTTCCAAGTAGAGCTGTCAAAATAGGTATAGTTCGTTCGACTAGTCCATCCTATTCAAAAAAAAAAAAAAAAAAAGAACAAAATTGCAAAGTTTAGTTTTTGATGGGGCGAAATAGCCTCTCTTATGCCCGTATTAAAAAGCATGTCCCGCATAAGATGGATTGTCGAGTCCGTCGACTCGACCCGCTTTGATAACTTTACTTTCAAGTTTTAATTGTTCAAAGTAAAAGGACTTGATTTTAAAATGATTGATTGCTAGTTTCTCTTGTCACTCATAAAATAAAAGGAGTTGGTCGAAATGGGTAATTAAATATGCGGAGCATAATTCTCATATCACAATGTTATGTGTTTAATTTTTCAAACACCTTCTCGGTTCAACTTGTAGCACAGGGTCTTCTTAGTATAGTTTGTCTTTGCTATGTTGTTTGTGTGCAATTATACATATACATAAACAAGGTTTATCCGGTGCACTCCTTAGATCTTATACAGGTTTCCATCGTCATCTTAAAAAAAAAAAAACGATATTTTGATTTGGGTTTAAAGAAAATGATTGATTGAAAGAAAACATTTTAAATATTTATGTGATACAAATTTGTGTATGAAATGACACATTTTTGATTGATTAAATATTAAATTGATGATTTTTTTTATTTGACAATTTTTTAAAACTCTTATTGATAATTTAAGAGACCGCACTTATAATCCATCATATTGTGATGTTGGTTGAACAAATTGTCCATCTAGACTTATAAGACGTCCAATTATTGGTCATCGTAGTTGCATACCACACTTTTCGTTTTTGTCAATCAACAATTCAAAATGCATCATGTTATATCAACTGCAATATGTTGTTAGGACAGTTCCAATAATTATGCCATTTATCTTGAGATCAACTTCAATGCCTAGTGTCTTACAATAAAGCACAAGAACACCACACTATCAAGATAGAAGAGACACCTTTTGACATTGAAGTATAATTTTGTATTTTGTATAAGAAAGACCTTAGTTTTTCATTTTGTATAAGAAAGACCTTTCAAATGTGATAAATATTCTTAATTCTTTAGCCTCATCAGGATTAGTCCTTGTGAGTGGGCATATTAGAAAAACTTGCCCCCAATTTCCTCACATAAAATGTAAACCAACAAGCATCTCATTAGAAAACATATCAGCAAGAAAAGTAAATCAAAAACTATTATCATAGTGAAAATAGGAATTATGCAATGAGTGATTTGAAATTCATTCAAAAACATGCTAATAAATATTACGAATCAAACATTAACAATACACAAGAACAAATCCTTCATAATCTCAAAGAACTCTAAATTAGGAAATAGATAATACATCTCTAATCCAAGCCCTAAACTAATTACTCATGATTCATATGCACAAATAGCATAACAATACAAGAATAAATCATAAACACCATAATGAAAAGAGAGATAAAGGAAATAGAGCTTATCTATTGAAATGAAAGATAAAGTCATTCAAGTGTAAATCCTTCATTACAAGCTTTAATATATGTTAATGAATCTAAATCTAAGTCTAATCTAACCTAAAAACTGAAGAGAAATGAATAAGAGGTTTTAAACAAAGTGCTTTTAGTACTAAGTAAATATAAATTATTCCTGAAAATTCAAGAATAGTATAATATTAGGGTCTTCCTTCGGAATAACTATTCCCCTTGCAAATGTTGACAGAATAGGCCTATTCCATAAACATGCCGTTAAACTCAAATTACAACTACAAAAGGGCCCCAAAAGTTTTAGTAAACAATCTTGTTGAATCCAACAACAGCATTCTCAAAATGCTTTAGCCATACCAGAGTGCTTTTAGTACTTCATCTTCAGAATGTACCCAGTTGGCCAGTTCCCGCCCCCTGCAATGCAAGACGATCACAGCCACATATCAGATTTACCTTAGTAGTTAGTAAATGAATAAGATTTAGCAGCCTACATATCAACATCAAGTAAAATATCACATTCCACTTCCTTGACAGTTTCTTCTATGTGATCATTGAAAACTTGTTGAATATCCCATTTCTTCAGGTTCTGTTTCCGGAAGTCCTGTTACTGCATAAAACAGTGAGAACTCATCGAGTTTCCCAATCCTTCAGCTTCTTTCCCTTGGGCTTTGCAATAGGTGCGTTTACAGCAGCCATTTTTGCATTATACTTTGCCCGAAGAGTATCATTGTATGTCCACCTGCACCATGCCGCAATTTCATGTTAGATATATTAAAATAATGTTACTAAAAAATATGCTCTGATGAGTCACGATCTAAATGTAAATGGGAACTGTTAAATGGAACAGAATCTCTAAAGATGTATAATGGAGCCGACCGTCGCACGGGACAAAATCTCTTAAAACAACATTTCATTTTAAACTTGTTTAGAGTTTTAAAAGTAAAGAAGACAAAAAAACTTAGACACTGCACACTTTAGAGTATATGCACAAGCAATTACTCAGAAGCCACAAGGAAGGGAGACTTAAAGCAAAAGATAGATTCCCACTTATTTCATGGTTCAGTGAATTTAACCGGATGGAAAATGAAAATGGAAAAGAATGCATTCCTCCAATTGAAGCATGTGTTCCATCTCAACTAAAAGCCTAAGCTAATAGTTGGATTTCACATTAATGGCTATATGCTCAACACACCCCCTCACGTGTAATTGAAGCATGTGCTCCATCTCAATTAAAAGCCTAAGCTAATAGTTGGATTGCACATTAATGGCTATATGCTCAACACCTCCTATGTGGGAACACATTTAGAAGGAAAATTTTGCTTTATTCAAAAAATTTGTAGTTCTGTATTCAAGATCTTTTCATCCTACAACAATATTCTCTAGCTTGTAACCAAGCTCAACATAAACTTTCCCAAGCTACTGAAGCTAGTTGAGGTAAGTTATAGATATGTCAATATTGAGACCTCTGTAATGTTAAATCCATCATGCTACCATGAACCATGGACCCATATTTATGTTCTTTCAGTTACAAGCACCTTAAGGATCTACAGTAAATAGCAGAATTGGTTATTACGATAAGCATCAGGGGGTCAATTGGTTCAAAACAATATACATGGTGGAATTGTGAGCCTGGGGTTGAGTGAGATTAAGATTGGATAAAAGATGGGATTGGAGGGTACTGGACTGTTAATCCCACATTTGGTTCAGACAAATAATGATGTCATTAAAGGAAAGGCCTAAAGATACTATGTTTTGGAGTTGAGCAATAGGAATAATAATACATTGCCCCCACCCCCACCCCCAATCAAATAACAGTTAGTTCTCAATAAATCAATAATAACAAGCATGGCAAAATGCCCAGAAAGCAATCAATAACATCAAAGACATTCATTAATTGAAGAGGAAATACTACAATCAGCAGCATTGATAATCAGTTATCGCAACATGCATAGTCACTTAATCAATTATTTTGGTAGAACGACTACATTTTGACTCTTTAAGAAAAATAGAAAATGAGTTCTATAGTGCTTTTAGCTGCAATTAATGATTTAATGGTCACTGTACAAATTGCAAATGTTACTTTTACAATGTAGTCCAATAACAATTTTATGTATCACTAACAAAATTACATTTTTATGCCAAGCTATAATTATAATTTAAGAATTAATACGGGTGAAAATAACAGAAAACCTTGAAATATAGAAGATATGATTATGTGTTGATCCAAAAATCTACTTGGTCTACTGCATAAATCTTTATAAGTAAACACTAAACAGGCATCTAAAAAACATTAAACATAAAAACAAATAAATAAATAAAAACAAAGAAAAATACTTACGGGTTGTTCCAATCAGTTGTGTCTTCATTGACAAGGTGTGTCCATTTCGTCCTTCCACTACGACCAAAGTGCTTGACCTGCATGACTTTGGGCAATATGGTCTTATCCAACTTATCTTCTCCAGTTGGTGCAGAGAAATCACGACTGTAAATATTATCTGCCTCAGCAGTTCCAGCCCTTTCATCAGCATTTGACTGGAAGAATGCACCCTTGTGGTAGTATTTCTGCATGAACTTCCACTTTTGCTTGGATGCTGAACCAGTTTTGGGGTTTCTCCTCTCCCATTCCTTTCTCTCTTCTTCAGTCATGTTCCTCAACTTCTCTATTTCTTCCTTCTCCTTCAGAATTGCATCTCTATCTTCTCTCTCCCTCTTGATCCTGGCAATTTCTCTGGCCTTCCAAGCTTCATATTCCTCTGCCTCATTCATCTCATCATCAGTATCTACGTCAGCAATATTAGCCTCTGTATCCAAATTCTTCTGAATCTCTTCTTCCTCTCGAATCTTCTCAACTACAAGTTGCTTTGTCTCAACTTTCCTCTCTTCTAATCTCTTCTTCATCAACTCTTCAAGTGCTTGTTCTTCAGCCTCAAGCCTCTCACGCTCAGCTATGGTATCCCTCTCAGACTTGGTGACAAACACAGGCTTCACCATTGCTATCCCAGTGGTCTCTTCTTCTGATTCAGTCTCATATTCTGATTCTTCTTCCTCCTCCTCTTCTGCCTCCTCTTCCTCTTCTGCCGGGAGAGCCTCCTCTTGCTCTCTCTGGAGCAACTTTTCTCTGATTCTCCTCCTCTTCTCGTCAAGGGCATCCTCATCCTCCTCCTCCTCGTCTATCCTTTCCAGTCGTTTGTTTTCCTCTTCGATGGTTGAGACAATTTCAGCTTGACGGATGCGTCTGTGATCAGCCCTCACTTCCTCACGATTATCTATCCTACTCTCTGCCAACCGACGCAACCTGGGATCATCCCTTCTTCCAACATCTGACCCATCCTGGCTAGGAAAGGCCTTTTCCAGGGCAGCTGCTCTGGTTGTCCTAATATCCCCATCTTCTTCAGCTTCATCTGCCCATTCAGGAGCTTTACCAGGCCAATATCTTTTCACTTTTGTCTGCCCAATTTTACCCCTAAGCTTCTCCCTAACTGCAATTACAGTATCACTCACACCTGCTGTAACAGACATCTCTAGCTAATAAGTTTAAAAGGCTCAATTGGTACTTTAACTATTCAAATGCAAATCCAAAACCTGAAAGGAAAAAGAAAAAGGAGATGTATCAAATAATAAGAACAGAGCATGCAAATATAATCAGAGAAAATATAGTAACCAGTGCCAGAAAATTTCCTTTAAAGCATGATCCCATCAGAAGTAATCCATATCCAAAGGTAATAAGGTATACATTGAAGCAGAAGAATTTAATAACTCAAATTAACATAAACTGTGGGGGTGGCAACGGGTAGCTTGGTGGTGGTGCTGGTTGAAGTAGGGATGGCAACGGGACAGTGATGGGAATAGGTCCCATCCCCAAATTCAATCACCATTCCCCGCCCCGTTCCCTAGCGGAGATTGGGAATTACCCCGTCCCCGCTGAAATTTTCTGGGGACAGGGATTCCCTGCCCCATTCTTTGGATGGAGTGCAAAATAATACTATATAATTTAAATTATTTAATTAGTTAGTAAGCTGATATATTTAAATATCGAATCAGCCTAAGATTCACCCAAATATCTCAAATACTGGCACCCTTCCTTCCCAGAATTATCACAATTTTTGTATTCAAAGCAAAAACATATTAATACAGTAAGAACTATGAAGTATCACAATTTTATGCTCCTGTCAAAGTTAATCCATCACACAAAAACAATTCTTTATATTCACGAACTAGGACTACTGGAAATGTATATAACTCAGCCAGTAAAAATCAATTAAAATAAACAAAGCAAATACAGGCAGTGACTACAAACTCAATAAACCTGGTATTCTGGCTGCCGGCGACGGAGGGCGTGTGACACAGAGGCACTGACAGCGCACTCCGCAAAGAAATGGCGCAGCTGTTGGCTGGATTGCGATTTGCTGGGACGGGGAGTGAGAGACGAAGAGAGCCAAGAGAGGTGGTCTAGTTTTTACTTTATACTGTAATTTTTTGTTGGCATAAGGTTATACACAAAAGTAACATGAAAATATAATTAGACCACTGAATTAAAAAAATATATATATATATAATTAGTTCACTGGACACTCCAAAAGCGTGTAATTAGGTTATTGAACACTTCAAATATATGTAATTTTATCAGATAACAGGTTACCATTAATTTTAGCATATTAATGGCTTATGTGGCAGTTGAGTTGGTATTTTTAATCATTTTTAAATAATTTTTAATAAATTTTAATAGCAGCTGAGTTGGTATTTTTAATAATTTTTAAATAAATTTTAATAATAAATTTAAAAAATAGAAAAAATGAAAAAAAAAAAACAAAATAAATTAGACGCCGCCCGTCATTTTATTTTTTTAATTTTTTAAAAAAGTTTATTAAAAATATTAAAAATGCCAACTCAACTGCCACGTAAGCAAGTAACCTGCTAAAATTGATGGTAATCTGCTATCAGGTGAAATTGCATACATTTAGAGTGTTCAGTGGCTTAATTGTACATTTTTTTCGTTCAGTGGCCTAATTGCATTTTCAAGTTACGTTCGGCGGCTAATTTGAACCTTATTCTCTTTCTTTCTTTTTTTCAATGTCTCATTCCGCACTATGAACCAAAATTGATTTTTCATGTCACGTTTTGACCTTTGTCATTTCATGCAATGAACTAAAATCATTTTTTCATGTCACACAAATCACAAAATTTGTTCGTGTTAGGAATATAGCGGAATAATGCGGAAGCGAAGAATCGAAAATTGAGAATTATAGAAATTAAATAATAGGGAAAATATAAATAATGACAAAAGAATTAGGAATAAGGGAAATATATATATTATAACATAAAAGAATAGAAAGAATGAATATAATATATATATATGCTACGTAAGAGGAAAACAAAGGAATGAATATATGAATTGATGTAAGAATTGATGCATTGAATTAGAAAGTTAAGCTAGCTATTTATACATTAGGAAAGAACTAAAGATGTGGCATGCATGCGGAGAAGCACCAAAGTCGGAGAAGACGTGGAGTACATGTACAAGTGACGTGCTGCGTTCCACGGTGAATTATGCTGAGCAAAATATACACCATTAATTATGGAATTGAGCCACATATTCTAACAGTTCGTTTAAATTTTTTCATTTTTTCAGATTTTCCTATATTCCTGATGACATTGCACGAGTAGACGTGGAGCTTATTTTGATCAATTCCTCTTAAATTGGAATTTTTGAAAAGTTTTGAGTTGTTTCTTAATTAATCAAAAATTCAATTCTTAGTTATTCTACCACTCCTTCTCACATCTGCTAAAACATACGTTGCGGATTACTCCCTCATCCGCCTCGCGATCGACCACCGCCTCTACACTATCCCTGACCTCTACCGGCCTCTCTTCCACTCCGGACGCTCTCATCCGTCTCACCGTCGACCACTTCACTACACAAATTACACCACCCTAGCACTCTAATGTGAGCTGCACCACCAATCGCGAACATCTTCTTGAACTTAGCCATAATTTCATTAATTGATGGCCTCTCCCTCAGGAATTTTCCAATTAATGTGGTATGGATTGTCATAGATTACTGAGATATGAATTAGGACTAATGATGAGTGCATTTTAGTGTTTTGAAGGATTTTGAACTAAAGTGAAAGTATTTGGACATGATTAGAAGCACTTTTGGAGAAAGCTTCACAGCAGCTTTACTGTGGTATGGATCAAAATCAACCTACAAACCGAAGTTCCGTTGCAGAGAGGCTCTCGACGCGTCGAGCCTTGCCAAAAAGTCCCATTTTTCACCCTTTAAATGCTCGACGCGTCGAGACCTCCCAGATCTGCAATTTTCCAGCCCGTCTCTGCTCCTATTTAACTTAGTTTTCACTCATTTCTCCATGATTTTGACCTATGTTCGAACCATAATCTTTTTCTTTCACTTCCTTTCATATTTTTAGGTTATATTAGGCTTAAATTTAAGTTCTTTAACATATTTGAAGCTTGTAATCAAGGATTCAACACTTGGATTCCAAGATTTACCATCAATTTATTTAGAGAAGTTTTCTTTCCGTTATCTATTTTCCTTTGCAATGTTTATGCTTTACACTTATGTTGTTGTGTTCTTTATGCTATTAAATCATGTGTAGTTAGTTTATGGACTTGAGTTGGGGTTGTATTATCTATCTTAATGCTTAGTTTGTGATTATTGTATAGTTGGTAGAATCCTAACCTAGGGTTCATGTGTTTATGAGGATGTTGTGTTTATATCTTGTTAATGTTTTATGTACACACATTCATTGGCACATATTTGGAGGATTCATTGCCTCAACAAGAGTTTGGTGATGAATTCGAGCCACTTCTTGCATAAACCCGATTTGCTCCTATGAAAGTAGGGGAAATTGGGGGCTTTAGATGCTTTGAGTGCTTGATGGACTTGGAATTGACACATCACGAGAGTGTGGCAATTCCTTGTTCTAATATTTGTTTATTAATTAGGAGAGTGATTCGTAGACTATAATACCTAAATGCATCCCCACTTGATTCCTTGGTTATTTGTTCTCCCTAGCTAATCCCATAGGTTGTTGACGTATCTAGATGATAATGCTCCTTAGCTTGAGTCCTATTTCTTTATTTCGTGTTTATCTCTTGTTAATATGTGTTCGTGTTGTTATGATTTGCTTAGCTTCTTGTTGGTTTCCTTATGCTAGTGTCTAGTTTCTTATGATTGCATATTGCGTGTCATATCCCCCAATCCCCTGGGGACGACATTTCACACTTGTACACTCACCATTACTCATTTTTGCTACAATCAATTACGCACACCGAAATATGCACAAAATGCGGTGTAGTAGGGGATAAAATATAGCTCAAAAAGTGTCATACGTACCAATTTACTTACGAATCGCCATATCAATATACTTACCGGTAGCTCCGTCCGTAGACATACAAACCTTTGGATCAGTACATTTCCCGATCATAATGGCTAGATAGGTCAACTCCACCGTACCGTCACCTCACCAATTACAACTTCAAATAGCTTAGCTACACGTTCATGACTGATCTAATTTGTCCAATCAATGAATGCTACATCAGTTATTTAAAAAAATACTTGTAAGTATTAAATAAATAACACAATATATTTATGCATGTGATACTGCTAATTCTACGTAAGCGATATATAACAACACGAGACCAATCAAAGCAAGTAAATATCTTTATTGATCACGGTAAAGGCCCTAAGTACAATCTACTTGGTTGCTCTGAGTACCGACTGACTGCGGTCGGGATTCTCTAACAACAACCTATCGATCGTCCAAAAGTCCCTTCCACTGTAGCTACTGTGGGTATTTATAGCCGCTATGCCGGGGACAAGATTCCAGCCGTTCGGCATGTCCTCCACGTAGCCACCACGTGTCATCCTCCCGGGTGCCCTGCCTGTCGATGTAAAGAGCCGCCACGTGTCCTTCGTCAGCTCTTTCGCCAAAGGGCTACCGCTCGGTGGTCGACACCGTCGCTCGGGCAACTCCCGGTCGGTATACGACCGGGTTCTTCTCGAGGATCCCGACCTGTTGCCTGCAAAGACAAGGAAAAAGAGACAAAGGCTCCTTGGTCGTGGTGAAGCTATGTCGGTCGGGATATTCCCTACCAAGAGCCCCCCAGCCCGGGCCTTTTTGATCGTCCGGGAAAAAATGGGCCGGGATGAAGAAACCCAACCGCCGGCCGCTAAACCGACCGGCCAGCTGTCATTCCCTTCTTCGCCACGTGTCGGCCACTGCCGGCCTCGGCGACTGCAACCGTTGCCTCGGAATCAGCGCTGGTCGTGTCGCGCAAGTGGACAACTTTCCCGCCTAAATGCCCTCCTATAAATAGGCCCTTGAGGCCCTCATTTGAACTTTCCTCAATCTTCTGAAGCAATCGGTACCCTCAGAGAGTCCCGAGCAGCAGATCGGCAATCCGACCAAGCAAAGCAAAAACTCAAATCCACTTCCAAGTTTCTTCACTCGGTAAGCTTCTAGCCCTTCTCCTTTCTTTACACTTCCATGTTAGGTAGAGCTGCTAGGTCAACTAACTGTCCCGGACACTTTAAGTCCTTCACTAACCCCGACCGACCTTTAGGTAGATTGAAATGACGGACTCTGACAGTCAAAACGCATCGATCGCGGATTACGACGAGGAGGTCGAGCACCTCAGCGACGAGGAGGTGGACATCATGTCCTACTCCCCCGAAGCTACCAGCCGACCGGGGCCAGCTCCCGAGCAGGCCGCCGCACAAGACACGTCGTCCAGCTCATCCGGGTCATTGAGCTCTAGCTCAAGCGGATCGGGGAGCTCCGACGAGGAGGAAGAAGAAGGAACCACGTCGGGGAGACAAGGATCCCCGACCGAAGGCGTTAGGGAAACGCCCACCCGGGTGGTTGGGGACCACCCGAGTCCTGCTCCCGAGCCGGCCGAAGAGGACACGGCCGGGCCAGCCGCCCCAGCCGCAGCGGAGTTCGAACTCTTGAACAGCGAGAATGTCGAACAACAAATGAGTCAGCTAACCAAGGGCGAGGCGGCTAGGATTGCCGAAAGGCTCGTGGGTCGGGTAGAATTTGACACGAGCCGGCAGTTAGGGAATGTCATCGATCGGCATCGGGGCAAATGGATTGGGATGCACTACGACTCCCTGATGGCCCCGATCGCCATTCCCTTCACCCCCCTCCTGAATGCCTTCTTGGCCTACTACCGGGTCGTCCCGGCCCAGATCTGCCCTAATGCGCACCGGATCATCGCCTGCTTTCCGCAGATATGCGCTCGACATGAAGCCGCCTGCACGATGGAGCTGTTCAACTTCATCTACCAGGTCAAAGTTCTCCCGGGCAACTATGGAGGCGGGTTCCTGATGTTGCAATCCCGGGCCGATATGTGCGCAATCAAAGGCCTGCCCGGGAACAACAGGGGGTGGAAGAATAGGATCTTCTCCCTCAAATACGACCCCTGGATCCTCCCGGTTGATCGCGCTTGG